GCTGGTGGTCTGGTGATGTTGAGGAAGCAAAGATGCGGACATGGACGCTTCACAACACTGGGACTTCAAGTGAAACCACCACGTTGCTCATCCCCGACATTCCGCTCCATTTTATACTCTGCCAGCCTGCATCTTCAATGAGTATCCAAACTGTCGGGCTCGTAGGGATATTTACCAAGTTGCCAGTAGCAATTGGGATATTGCCCATATGCGAGGATGGCAGTCTCATTTATACTCGGCACTTCAACTTTGGCCATTCACGATGCGCTCCTTCGCAATCGCCTCATCGCCAGTCTTCAGCCAAATTGCGAGTTATAGCTATAGCAGCTGCGGTAACGACGTTGACTTCAGGGCTGAGCAGCTTGTTTCCTGATCAGGAAGTGCCGATCATCATCGCCATCCATGTATATGGCGCGGAAGTACCCGTCCGTCCGTTCTGTCGATCAAAGCATGGCGGTGTTTCACAGCTGATCGACATTTGCTAGAACTGTCGATGCCTTCCTTATCAGGTACGCACGACGTCTCCTGCTTACATTTCTGGCCCCGGAGGCCGGACGATCTTCGTCATACCGGCCGATCCAGTTAGGCGGTTATAGGCTAGACTAGGCAAACGTTTTTTTGGGTTCGTATAGGGCATGCCATGGCAGGAAGAGAGCGAGGTAGGTATACCGTTTAGCTTGGTAGGTAAAGGCCTTGAATCGTTCGCGTCCTTCTGCGCCTGTTATCGCGAAGAACCTGATTACCAAGCATCTGGTGGAAAAGGGCGATCAACATCAGGGCTTCGTCGGTCCGGACATTCACTTCCTTGTGTCCAGCATCAAGGGCAGCAGCGAGATTAACTAGGTGTTCACCCATATCGACATTAAAGAGTCTTGGCAGTTCCCTGGAAAACCCAGAGGCTTTGACTTACCTCGGGGGATTGGATGGTGTCCGGTGGTCAGGGAACTGGTGAAGGCTACGCCACCGGGGAGGTTAATCGACTACAAGCTTGTCTACCGCGAGCCGCCGCTACCGACGTTCGTCAGCCCCAAGGGGAGGATAGCTCATTGGAGACGCCGGCCATCCTTTTCTGCCTATATCCATCCAAGGAGTGAGCTAGTCCATCGCAAGATGGGAGCGTGGTGGCTGCTTGCTTGGAACTTGCCTGCCGAGCAAGCAAAGGGGGGGATATGGCACCGTGACAGAAGCTGGTGGTCCCCACAGCCCTGAAAGCTTTCGAAAAGCTGAGACACGAAAGAGTTGTACAAAGCGCAAGCGAATGGAGCGATGACCAAAGGAAAGAACTCATGCACCCATCCAATGATATGAGCGCTTACCTTCGGGCTCCTTCGGGCTCAACCGGGTTGTCGCCGTTGTTCTTTCCTTTCAAGATAGTCTTGCGAGACCATTGCATACATAACGTATTTGCGCACCGCCAAGATGGAAGGCGCTGTCAATCAAGCTCATTCTGTCCATGTCCTTTGCCCGGGCAGCACTGACATCTTCTCAATTTTACGGTGGATGTCAGTCCCAAATGCTACCCAAGACCATTTTACCCGCCTGGAAGAATTCAGATTCCAAAGAATCCATGACGGACATTGCTCCTTCGTCCTTCCAACATCCTACCAACGGCGCCCAAAACGCAACCAAAGAACGTCCAACATTCCCCTTCTACAAGTTTTCGGTCTTCTTCTGCCGCGAATTTCCTATTTCGGCCACTCCACCGACTCACAAGCTCAACCGGTCCCTGCTAGAGCCCTACAAAATCTCTAAAACAACGAAAGCCATGGTGTTGAGTAGCATTGAAACCCATTTAGCCGCCGGGTTAATCGGCATTTGTGATGCTGTCTTTCCTGAGGCTTTGCGGGCTTGCGCTCCCCCGCAATTCAACCGGTGATGGGGGTGGTATGTGATGCTACCCTGGTGCTTGGAGGCTCTAGCCCGGTTGACGACGACTCTTGCTTCCTTGAAGTCACTTTGGGCAGGGCTGATGATGCGTTGCGGTTATGAGGTGACCGGGTTTTGCACAAGGCAACATTCTCTTTAGGTCCCATGGTCTCTGACATGACGCCCGCTGGGAGAAGAGACTGGGAAGGAGCCAAGTCAACAGCGTTGGTTGTCTCTCGGCCGATTTCGACTTCATGTCTGGCCTCGCCGTGATATATCAGAACATGCTAAACCTCCGGGGCATAGGGCCATCGACTACCGCAGCGGGAATATAGGGGTGTAACAAGCCTTGTTGTATATCTATTGCATAACTGTGTAACAAGCCCTGTTGAATTAACAAGGCTTGTTAGCTGAGCGAAGCTCCTGATTGGTTAGATTTTGGTGCAAAAGAGCAAAAGCCAAAGACCCCTATAAGGCCTTCTAAAGGTCCTTCTAAGGGTCTTTAATTAGGGTCTTCCTAGTGGTCCTTTTAGTACTTCTAGCCGTTTAAGATTTTGACTTTAAAATCCGGATGAGGGCATTTCATGTTGCACTTTCGCGCGAAACTTTTCGCGCAATAGAAAAAAAGCTATCACCAATTGGAATCGAACTGGCGATTACAAAGATGAGAGCGACGACAAGAACTATTGAGCCACTGGCCCAATGAATTGAAAGTAGGCTTCGTTCCTTCTTTTAATATAGGGCAATTTCTTCCGGGGAAGGAACTTTGGAACTTGGAAAATAATTCAGGGCACTTTAGCAACCGTCTACAGCGGGCATTTAGATAAATAAAAATTAGCCAATCAAATACCTCCCTCGTTCAACAAAGCTTGTTAATTCAACAGGGCTTATTAAGTCTACAAGTCTTCTATGTATTAAGCCTTAGAAGGCCTGTTTCCTGGCAGGTTTTCCCGCCTAGGTAGGCAAGATAGTCTGACGGGTAGGGAAGAAACAAAACAACTTAACTAGGACATGGAGGACAACCCATCACTCCGCTAAAAAGGGATCTTGGCTACCTCTGCCTAATCAGTCAATGTCAGGAATCCATAAAGTCTCGATCAAAGCAACATCGTATGGCGCTTGGTGGTCTCCGGATGGTTACATCGCGGATGTGGTAAATCGGTTTCCCCATGAAATCCAAGAACAGGGGGGGCCGCAACACCACACCACACCGAACCTCAGCCAAGCCATAAGGGGGGCAAAACATCGGAGCGGAGTTGCTAGGGGGCATGAACCTTCAATTTCCAGGAAACAATGCGACCGTGTCCATGTAACAGAAGCTTTCACCATGGAACCCCCATCAGGCGATCCATCGACCTACAAGCAACCAGCAGACTGGAAAAGTATATAACCCCTGGGTAACCTCCCCGGCATCATTACTCAACTTCTGGTTCTTCATCTTCAGCACTCCAGTCCTCTCCAGTCTCAGGTCAACAACATCATCGAAATGGTTGCTTTCTCCTTTATCCTTCTCGCCGCCTCCACGGCCATCTCTGGCGTCTTCGCCCTCCCCGGCGAGCTCCCCGGCCAGGGCAGCCTCTTCAAGCGCCAGACCTACACCTCGTCGGCCACTGGCACACACAACGGCTACTACTTCTCCTTCTGGACCGACGGCCAAGGCAGCATCCAGTACACCAACGAGGCTGGTGGCCAGTACTCTGCCAGGTGGTCCGGCAACGGCAACTGGGTCGGTGGAAAGGGCTGGATGCCCGGTACTGATCGGTATGTTCCATTGCGTTTTCGCTTTTCTCCTTGGCTCCTTCTCCCTCGCGCGGCCACTGCGTGGATGAGTCCTCGTTTTATTCGATTATGCACTAACGTCTTCTGTTCGTGACAGCACCATCAACTACACGGGCACCTACTCCCCCAACGGCAACTCGTACCTGGCCGTCTACGGCTGGACTCGCAACCCGCTCATCGAGTACTACGTCGTCGAGAACTTCGGCACCTACAACCCCAGCACGGGCGCCACCCGGCTCGGGTCCGTTACGACCGACGGCGGCGTCTACGACATCTACCGCACCCAGCGCGTCAACCAGCCCTCCATCGACGGCACCGCCACCTTCTACCAGTACTGGTCCGTCCGCCAGCAGAAGCGCACGGGCGGCTCCGTCAATATGAAGAACCACTTTGACGCCTGGACCAGGGCCGGTCTGACGCTCGGAACCCACAACTACCAGATTGTCGCTACTGAGGGCTACTTCTCGTCCGGAAGCAGCACCATCAATGTCGGTGCTAGCGGCGGCGGATCGGGAACTACGCCTGAGAACCCTACTACTACTACTAACCCCGCCAACCCTGGCAACGGAGGTGGCAGCTGCGCGGCCAAGTGGGGACAGTGCGGTGGCCAGGGATGGACTGGTGCTACTTGCTGCCAGTCTGGCTCGACCTGCCAGGCTGCTAACCAGTGGTACTCGCAGTGCTTGTAAGGGGACTTCGCTATGGAGTCCGTGAGCGAGCGGGAGGTGTCTTATCGAGGGATCGGGTTTACTCGGTCTTGAGGCGGGACTGGAGGGACGCGCGATGGTTAGCTTGAAGGTCAAGGGATGGATGATGGCCTGACGGTCTTTCAGATGTCTGCATGTGCTCGACTGTTAGCGTTGGTGTTGGCGCCGCAGCCGGTCTGTTGGCTCTTGCTAGCAGATTGGGAATCGGCTCGTTGGTTGCACGGCGCGTTATTAGATCTCCAACTTCAACTCGCGCGTTCTTGTAAATAGTTGTCATATGTTGCTTGCGATATGTTTCGCTAGCGGTATACATAAACAGTTGTTCCATGCCCTGTACAACGTTTGGTCTCTTGTGCTAGTTCTGTTGCGGTGATTCTGTATTTGTGATTTTGTGAAGAGGACGGGAGGAAATCGAAGTGAGTTGTCCGCTAACACCCCCAACTTGTGTGCTCAAACATTCCACTTCCTTGTTGTGCAGGCACGCAGCAAATAATGTGATGTCATAGCCAGTACCACCAGCAAGACTGGAAGTACCAGTTGAATATGTACCAGTGGCGGTATTTGACACTCGACACATAAGAGAGGGGGTATATGTATTAGGTACGCAGACCTCCTTCCAACAAACAAAGCAAATAAGCAAGCAAAAAAGCGCGGTTGGCGTAGTGGTCAACGCGTTCGCTCAGTACGCGGGCACTTCGATCACTTACGGTGTTCGTGGTTGGGGTGCCTCCCTGACAGTGAGAGTTCCCGGGTTCGAATCCCGGACTGCGCATTATTTTTTTTCTTTTTTCTCCTTCTCTTTCTTTTTCTTTTTTGTTTTCTGCCTTTTTTAAGGGGGGGAGTTTACAGGAGTCGGAAAGAGGATGTGGGACATGATGTACATTGATTGACATGCCAAACGGAATTGGAAAGAGCTCCTTCTTTGGGCTTGCATCTATTTAGCTCTTGCCTTGACACTCACCTTGTTAGCAACCAACAACAGCATAATCAACAGACAAAGATCTTTCTATGACTTGAGGAAGGTGTATCTGGTCTAGCACGGGATTCTTTCCTTTCTTCAACCAAGCCTCTAATTAAAGAAATTTCTATCGATTTCTATTTCACAAATTACATCCACACTGATTTTCTTTCATGCTTTGTTGGGTTGGTCCCAGCATCAAGACCGCGAACATCATCAATTCTCTTTGCCAGCTGCACGAACATGAACGCTCAGACGAGCGGTTTTCACTCATCAATATAAAGTTCAGGAATGTAACATCCTCCAGCGACAAGTGACAACCGGTTGGTTGCTTGACGCACCTTGGCGGTAACTTTTTACAAGATCAATACTACAAACTTTAACCACATTAACTATATAGTATATAACCTACGTTATCCACGATACCTATGAACCTGCCACCTGCTATATGACGGTTTCCTTGTTCCGCTCATTCCAGGTAGGTACGATAGTATATGTGACGGCATGGCCGTCAAGGTGCACATTGGAGTGCATGTAGGCATGGATCCACTTAGACTTGCACTCGTAGATCCATCTCTGGTTCTGGGTATAAAACCCGTCCCAGATCATCACACCTTCCTGGTTAGACTTCTTCTGCTTCTTCAATTCAGTATCTTCGATTCAACGTGTGCCTCGCTCTGTCTTTGAACGTGCAAAGGCCACGCGCCGTCACAGTATACAACCGTCCAAGATGAATGAAGCTAACGTCAACCCATCTTTAGACGCTTTTACAATGTTTTTCCAACAATCCCGCGCCAGAGATTTCGGCCCGCTCTTAGACTAAGAGACCATTTATGCACTCGGAAGAAGAAAAGCCAGAGATATTGTATGGGAAGATGACGAAGTCGCAAGAAGAACTCGAAGATGCGCGGAAGAGAATCTGTCCAAGAACGAATACTAACAAAGAATTCTAGAACTCCGCCGTGGATGACACCGCAACCCCGTGATGCTGCTCTGAAGGCGGAGCACTTCACTTTGCGACATTACTTCTTGCTCGAACACAGTTACAAGCTTGGCATTCATCAGATGGCTCGTTGTTCCACGTTCGCAGCTATCATTGCCGATCATGTTGCCGTCCTTAAGCACCTTGTCATCCGTCGTGAGTGGCTATCAAAAGGGAGTACTAACCTTAGGACCTAGCCTGGAAGGCAACCCATCGAGCTTGGAAAAGCAGGCCACTGCCTGAGTTTACTTCTGTCGAGTGTTGGAACACTGAGGTTATATAATTCTTTCTTACTTGGCTGGATAGTAGATACGTGCTTGTCCTGCGAGCTTGGGCTGGACAATGGTGAAGATCCGCACCTCACGGGCAAAAACCTTGTTCGAAGCATGGCCCTCAACGCCTTGAAGGCTGTCAGCGGCGATAGGGTCCGTGAAAGGATTGATATAGACCTTAGAGAGGAGCTGTTTCTTGCCGTCGGGCCTCTCGTTGACGTGACGGGGGTTGTTTTTCGTGATCAAGGGGTAGATAGGAGTAGGGTCAACATATTTTGGGAAGGAAAGTTTCTTCTTAGTGAGAAGAACCAATTCGGGAACGCTGGGAGCCTGCCAGAGATCCGTACCAACGTGTCTTGAAGGCAGGTCTAGCTAGTAGATAGGATAGTAGATACGTGCAGGGTGACTTCGACGTATAGGGGTTCAACCTGAACATGAACTTTAGGAGCTATTTAAGCCCGGGGGCGTCGGGAAATTATATTTGTACCGCAGCGGGAATATAAGGAGCGCAACATGCCCTGGTGCATATTTGTTGCATACTTATACAACAAGGTATGTTGGATTCCTAGGCCTTGTTGGCTGAGCGTAGCTCCTGATTGGTCAGGTTTGGGTGCAAAAATAGTAAAAGCTAAAGACCCCTATAAGGACTTTCTGAAGGCCATTATAGGGGTCTTTAATCAGTGGTTATTATAGTGGTCGTTTGGGTACTCGGCGGGACTTTGACTTCAAAGTCCGGATGAGGGCATTCACAGTTCCGTGCGCGAAACTTTTCGCGCAATGAAAAAAAAGCTGTCACCAGTTGGAATCGAACTGGCGGTCACAAGGATGATGTATCACGTCTGTCTGCGTGCTGCTTGTATGGCTGGGGATAAGGTAGAGGTATTTACGTACGTTCAACCACCAGGTGTCACGAGCGACGTGGTCACGAGAGACAAGCTAAACACGTTGATTCCAGGTCTATAGTAGAATCACAAGATAAAGAAGAAAAGAGAGAAACGTGCAAAGGTGCGCCACGAGTCGAGGGTTTTAACCCAAGGCTCTGGTGCCCTGTGCGCGGCACGACTTCACGTGCCTTGGCGATGCCCTGTCGGTCCGTGTACCAGATCCATCCGCCAGTGCCGTGACACCAGGCATCATCCTGCCCGGCCTCAGGGGCCGTGGTGGTGGTGGTGATGGTGATGATAATGATGGTGGTGGTGGTGGTGGTGGTGGTGCTGTTGGGCATTTTGCTGTTGTTAGTACTGATGTCAGTTTAAAATCAGGCTGAGATTTGGGAGATATATATTTTGACGCGTTGGACTCGACGCGTCGGACGAGGGAATCAACGAGGGAGGCGAGTGATATGATTGTGAGAGAGGGGAGGGAAAGTGAGATACTAGTGCCGCGTGAGGCAGAAACGACGCGGTGTTGCGAAGATGGAAACCCACCAAAGCGGGAAACCCTGAGTTTAAACATTGGTTGTCTATCAGACAACCAATGTTTAGAAAACAGTAATTGCTTTCCAGACATTGATTGTCTCCCAGGCCCTAAGAAGGCAAAAGTATAGAGTACAGTCTTCTATAGTTTAGCAGTCTTAATTCTACTAACTAGAAGGCCGGGCTTAGAAGGCCGGTGTTGTCAGAATAGCTTAAAAAAATCGGTCACGAACAAGAATCGAACGGACAAGGTCACGAATACGAATAAAAACGAAGAACTACTTCATTAACCACTTGGCCACTGAGCCGATTGGTTGTTTCTGAAAGGACGGCTGATTATTTTCGTTGATAAAGGGGAAGAGCGATCTTTGGGAAGGAAGGTAGGAGTTGGACTTTAAGACTTTGAGAAATTTCGGTTTTCAGACCCAACCCAACACCAAATCCGAGGCCACTATAGTATAGCGCTTACCCCCTGTAAAAAAGATGCGTTGGTTTTCAGACATTGGTTGTGGTTATTGTCCAACAGCCACAATCAATGTCTGGAAACAGATTTTCCCACTACGGCATGTTGATAGGCCAGACGCAGGGGAAAGACCTTGAAGTTGGGGGTGATAGTTGGGAAGATCTGGGGGTAGGTAGAGTTTGGAGTTTGTTTTTAAGTGTGTGGGAGGAAGAGGGCAATGTGCTCGAGTTGAAGATAGGCACGTGTAGCGATGGGAATGATGAAAAGAAGGAAGACGCAGTGGAAGTTAATATACTTACTTGGTTGGAGAGAGGCAGGGGTGAAAGATCTTTTGGGGTGATAGAGGTAGTTTGGAAGTTTTGAGAGTGGTATGTAGAGTTTGGATTTTTTTTTTAGAAATTGTGGTAAACAGAAGAAAGGAAGAAGGAAAAATAAAGGAAAAGATTGGTACCGTATTGCCTGTTACTCCTCGGGACCGAACAACGGAGAATGATTTGACCAGTGGAGGGGTAAAAGCATTTCGTCCACTCTCAACAGCTACTCCTATGGTTGCCTGGTAAATAAGGATTTCACTTGTTTTCATTTCAGTTTCTCCCATATTACCACACGTCATACCTTCCTGGGGCGCAATGCCTGCCTTAGGTAAGGTATTTACGTCCCTAGCAGGCACGCCGCTGGTTCTCAAATCTGGAGTTTCCTCGACATAAGGCGTGCCCAGTTTGTCTATTATTCTGACAAATCCCAATAAGAACCCCTCACAACAGACATACGGAGTCACCTTTGATCTGAGCATTGTGGACCGCTAGAGGTAGAGATTTGATTTGGCGTAGATGTTCACGTTGTAATGGTTGAAGATAATAATTTGGAAGTTTTTAACATTGAAGCTGCCTAACCCACGGGGGAGTGATTCCAGACTAGCATACGACCTCTTCTATTGAATTCTGCCCGTCACTCGTCACCAACCTCAGCTTGACCGTCGGTGACAACCAAAAGACACCGCGCAAACATCGCAGTAGTAGATCCAAGCCGTTTTGACGATTTTTCGTTTAGCATGCTCCACGGGGTTGCACTTGGCGTTCGATCTGGCAGTGGATGCTTTGATGCTTGCCGGACCTTGATAGCCGTAGTTGCCTTCGCTGTAAACTTAATCGTAATAGGGAATCCCCTAGCCCAGCTCCTGCCGGTGACATGTCCTTGAGTTATGCTAGAGGGAGTTGTAGCAGGTTGGTTGCCGTGTTCCACGTTGCCGGCACTGGGACCTGCCGAGGATTGTTGGTCTTTGCGAGATTCTCGGTCAGAGCGCTGTTTTCCGCCTCAAGTTTGGTGATTCTGTCGAGCATCTTTGCCATTGTCATGCCAGCCACGGGTGCCGGTGACAAGTTGAGCTTCTTGAATGGTCTCGCCAATGGCGACTTGGTGAATGGCCATGTAAAGGCACTCCATCAAGTGGGCTAGCCAGGCGTCTTTGTCCGGATAGGAGGCAAATGAATCAGTGAGATCGTCCATTTGCTCTGAACAGGTAAGAAGCGTCTCGTGGGCGGCTCGGAGTTCTTGTTGTGTGGGCGCCATCGTGATTAGTGATATCTGGAAAATAAAGAAAATGGCCAGAGCAGGTACAGTTCTAACTTCCAATTTATGTGAGCGAGGACTTTGCCGTGAGCTTTTGCGAGGGGACGACCTTT